AAAAAAATTGATATTATATTTTTTATACTGATAAAATTTTATGCCTAAAATTCTGAATATCTCTTATCTAACTCAATAAATATATATAATTAAATTTTTAATTTATAATAACTTAGCTAATATTAGTGCTAGAAATGCAATTTTACTATCATTAGATTCCTCTTATTGAAATGAATCCAATGATATAAAATTCATTAAATTCAATCAGTAGATTATTTAAAAAAAAGGAATATGTAAAATAAAACAATTTGAAAAAATACCTCTGAAATAAGTAACTTTTGAAAATTTTATATAATCAATAAGCAACTTTTACAACTAACCTATTTATATATTATTTGAAATTCTCTTTTACTAAGTAATATAAAGCAATATAAATCTACACATTCTACTAACAAATTATGTTTAATTAGTTATTATCAATAAAATAGATAACTGGTTAGAGTTTAGATTTATATTTATAACTCAAATTAACTTAAGTTAAACTTGCATTTAAGTCAAAAATTTTTTGATTCAAGTCAACCAAAATCATATGATTGATAGTGCTGGCTAAACCTTATTTGTAATTCCTATTGACATTATGATTATAATAGTCTGGATAAAATTATAAATAGTAAACTGATAGTTTTTTAGTTTGCACTTTAACTTTAACTCAAGTTAACTTAAGTCTCAACTTGAGTTCTAAATTTAAATACTACTCTTTGATGAGTCAAAAAATTTCTTGACTCGTTTTACTTAAATTGACTTATCCTGACTCAAATTCAAACTCTATAACTAGTAAATATTGTATATATATTTCTTTATATTTTACATATTATATAATAATAGAATAGATTATTTGTAAAAAATAAAAAAAAAATAAATTAAATAATTATTTTTTTTTAGAATAAAAAAATTAAACTGAAGTCTTTTAGCTTTTTAGTATATTATTAAAATAATTGAATAATATCTTTAAAAAATTCTTTATATAATAGTTTCCAATAAAATTAAATTTTTAAAAGAAAAAACATAAAAAGTTTTAAGTAATAATCTATATTCTACAAATAAAAAGCTTTTAAAATAATTTAATTAATAAAAAAAATACAAACTAATTACTCTAAAATTTAAAAAATATTTTATATAATATTAAATATAAAAGTTAACTTAAAACTAAATAATTTATATTGAAAATTTTAATAATTTTAATATTAATTTATAATTTAAGGATCCCGGATATTTCCAAAACAGGTCATAAGTCACACTTTTGGTTTAACAAAGCTTGTGCTTGAATTTTATTAATTTTTGCTGTAAGTAACTTTAGAGAATACCAGGTATTCAAGAAAGAACCACAACAAAGTGTAGAACTAACTAATACAAGAACAAATGATCTTCTGATAATTATACTTGTGTCCGAAATTATTTTAGTATTACGGAAATACATAATTATGTAATTCCGTATTCCGTAATTAATTTCGTATTACGAAAATATTTGGCCAGAATTAGCCTTAATTTTGGCCGATTTATATATAAAAACTTTAACAAATAATAACTCGTCACCCAGTGATCCGTTTTGGATGATCTTACTACCATTTGATTCGTCTCGATAAGACGATTCTAATGGTAGTAAGATCATTTAAATCCAATCACTAGATCGCGCTCCGATACCAATAACTTTTAAATATTTATAGCATAATAGCTCCGCCAATTTCAATGCTAGAAAGATGATTTTACTGCCATTAGAATCGTCTCGTCATGACGAATTGAATGGTGGTAAATTCATTCAAATCTAATCACTAGATCGTGTTCCGACACCAAAATTCATTAAATGTTTATAGTAATTTTACTCCATTAATATCGGTGCTATAGAAATGAAACACATCATTAGATTCGTCTCGATGCGACGAATCGAATGGTAGTAATATCATCGAAATCTGATCACTAGATCCCGAGATATTCGCAATTTCGCACTATTATGCAAATTTCGGAATTTCAGATTACGTAATTAATTTCGTAACATGTAATTAATTACATAATTATGTAATTAATTAAGATCTCGTAATTTCGGATTTTGGATTTGCCAATTGAATTTTGGAAACAACTATACTGATAATATATAAAAAGAAAACGTAAGATTATAAACCCAACACCCTCTCTATATAAATTACTACAGCTACTCCCCCGAATTATATCTCAAACCCGGCCCTATTTAATTACATACTATGGATAACAAACCTACTTCACAAAAGCCTCTGGGAACTTTTTAGTGTCATGCAATCCAGCCGATGGGGAACTTTTTAGTGTCGTGCAATCCCTGAAGGGACACCCACCTATCAAAAAGGAACAAAATTCAATTTCCCTATTTAACTACATACTATGGATAACAAACCTACTTCACAAAAGCCTCTAGGAACTTTTTAGTGTCATGCAGTCCAGCCGATGGGGAACTTTTTAGTGTCGTGCAATCCCTGAAGGGACACCCACCTCATTGCGAATGATCCCAAATGGAGGACATCCATCTCATTGCGAACGATCCTTCGGCCTAAGATCTATCTAGATAAGTCAATCCAATGATAGTCCAACATGTGACCACCATGATCGGCATACTACAAAAACTGCGGTACCCAACCTGTCACCCTCCTTATCACCTGAGTGATCATTGATTTTTAAAATTGTAACACCAAGTCACCATGACGATCAAATTTTCCAGTATCCCCCACCACCCAAAAAAAATAAGATTACACCGAAAAAAAGTGACCAAGAAAAACAAAAAGCAAAAAATAAAAATATAAACCTCAGGAAAACTCAAAGTGCAATGAGAAAAACCTGAGTAAAAAACATCAAACATACACCTCAACTCTATCTCCTTATTTTAGAAGACTAAATGAACTCTCCCATTAACAACATTAACTAGCAAGAAATACGTTGGTCAGAAGCTCCTTTCAAGAAATAATGGTCTGGCCTGTGAACCACTTGGCCAGTTAGACTTTAAAGGCGTAGGAACCAAGACGCACTACTTTTCAACCTTTCAGAAAGCCCAGAGGAACGTTTGTATAGAACTGCCATCTTACATTATTATTGGTAACTCCAAGACTCATGATAACAGTCCTAACTCAATATAAGCCGTAAGGAATTCGGGCGAAACTAAAGACCTTGGTAATAACTTTATATAACGTCGAAAAGTCCTTTTACTATTACTCAAGGCAAAAAATCCTCATATTTTTCATCCATGTCTTTTTGGGAAAAAATGGGCACAACCTAACGGGAGAGAAAGTACGATGATCACTAAGTCACACTTTTAGGCAAACATGGCATAGCAGCCTTTATCTTTATTAATTAATTATCGAACTTTACAAATTTACATTTTAAGAAAAAAATAAAATAAAATAAAAACTAACTAAAAACAAAGCTATATAGTCTCCTAGAAAGAAATTAAAATTAAAAGAAAATTCAAAAGAAAAATCACTAATACTAACACTTCCTAGATCTTCCCTTTTGATATATTCCAACTAAAGTAGAAGAAGTCACACTTTCGGGCAAACATGGCATAGTAGCCTTTATCTTTATCAATTATTTATTGAACTTTACAAATTTACAATATAAGAAAAAGAAAATAAAATAAAAACTAACTAAAAACAAAGCTATATAGTCTCTTAGAAAGAAATTAAAACTAAACGAAAATTTAAAAAGAAAAATTGCTAATACTAATACTTCCTAGATCTTCCCCTTGATAAAGTCACACTTTCGGCAGATTGGCCCATTTTTCAGGAGCTCAAAAAATCATTTTTTGAGTTTCAGCAAAAAGGGGTGTTTTTGGCCAAAAGTTTATTATGACCTTTATATTAGATATCTGGGGTCCTATAATTTATTAATTTCATACTTTTAGAAAATTTAAACTTACATTACTAAACAAAGTCTACCTACGAAGTCAAAAAATCACTTGATAGTGTATATATGTGGTACTATTGGTATGACAAATAGTTTGTAGTTTAATTATTATATTAGAGTAATTATTAGGGAATTTTACTTAGTATATATTTTCTTTATTTTTTTACTTTAATAAAACTGCAAATGCACTGCAGAAAAAAAA